TGAAATTCTAATTTCCACCGTGTCTAATAATCATTTAACATTTAATAATAGTACAGAATCCGGTGAGCTCGGACTTCAAGAGCTGACTTCCGAGTAGTGCCACAACTACACATTATGGGGTTGATGTGCAAATCTTAATTTGGGGCCTAAATATACAAAGTGTAAATAAATTATTATATTAAGCTATCTAAACAAAAATATTTAATTGTATAGTTTATTGTTATAAAAATAGTATTATAGTATAATTTCAACATATTTGTAAATTATCTAACAAAATTGTTTTTTCTTCACTTTTGCGTTTGAACAGTTGTCAATGACTTTCTCTACATCTATCTCGGAAGTTCTTCTCCATTCTATGTTCAGTATGGAAATGTCACTGAGACGATCTTGACTTATAGAATTGCGTAACAATTTTTTGAATCATTTGAGTTTAATTTGATTACAATAAATTATAAATATTTAATAATATGAACACATTTGTTTTTTTTACTCTTAATTTTCTTCAGCCACAGCTTTACAATTGATTTTAACACATCGATTTAGAGGCCTATATCGAATTGAGGCCTTGGAGGCAGATGTAAAAGGTAGTTGAGGCACTGCTCCCGAGACTTGGAGTCCTGTAGAAATTACACAGAACTCGGTGGCTAAAAGTTGTGAAACGTTATTTATTATTATTCGAAAAAAATATATTATATATTTATCAAACTATAATTTAAGTATAGCTAAACACAGTTTTTGTTAGAATTTTAAATATTGATTTTCGTACGTAATTTTTAAAAAATTAGAAATAAAATTGAAGCATAATATCGGTGCTTTTTAGGTATTATAATTTACAAAACATACGTTTATATAAATACCGTATACCTACTAATAATATTCAATGTATTAAAATTATCAACTCAAAACTAAATATGAAATAGCAAATTTAAAACTGAATAAATTAAATACCTAGGTAGGTTATACCTAATAATAAAAGAATATGTATTTTGTAAAGTTTTTAGATAATTTGTATATGTGCTCAAGACATTTTAACGTTTTAATGGAAAATGTGTCCAAGCTTGAGGTGTGTTCGAAACACTTCGCAGTTTTTTTTTTTAAAAAAAACTTCTTAGGTTATGCAAAAATTATTAGTCTGAAGTAGGTACCACCTGTGTCCATAATTTTCAATCGATTTATGAAAGTTTTAGAGGTATTGTAGACTGTAGTGCTTCAAAATGTTTTTATACGAAATAAAATCTTAATAGCCACAATTTCAGATATTAACTTAAAGGTATTAATTAGGTATTGAAAATAAAGTGATCATAATTTACAATAGTTTTGAATTGAAATTTGGATTAAAACTGTACTTATAATTAGAATCTATTTGAAATTCAATCCATGACTCAACGGTTGTATTGAAATAAAATGTTCAAATATTTACTAATGATAATATTTATTAGGTTCATTTATTCTAAATTAAATTGATATATTAGTGATATTATTATTATTTTATTTATAAAACAAAGTTTTATTTGCTCAAAGAATAAATGTTCAAAATATTTGAGCAGCGTTTTTGTGATTTATGTTATTCATAAACATTATTTTATTTTCTGTTGTAAATATGAGAATACTAAAACGTTTATTTAGGAAAAAGATATATTTATCGTACCTACGAGGCAATATTCGTATCCCATAATAATATTTGCTTTGTACTAATAATATAATATGATTATTCACATACATACTTCTCTGTATATCATGCTTAGTGACTTTATGCATTTTTTAATATTTGAAACATTTATAAAAGGCATTTTATTTATAATTTTAATATAACAGAGCACTGTGCCTTACCGATACGGCTCATGTGTAGGCCTTATTTTGTAAACGATGCTACGCAAAATTAGCAGTGAGTAGTGACGGGTAATCATCTATACTTATGACAATAATCGGTTTACTATTTCATGATGATCATACAATAACATGGTTTGCCTGCTATAATTTATATTGCATCCAACTTCAGTCGATCCATAATATTGTCATAAGTGCTGAAAATCGGCTGTTAAGTGTTGATTTATATGCCATAATAATTGTGAAAATAAATTAATTGTGTAAAATAAACTTTAGTAAACCACAAGATGCGTTTCCCTGTTTATATCCGAAATATTTCCACCTATGAAATTGTTTATTAGTGACCACGATAAAATAATAACCGGTTTCTGTAATATTACTAAAGTATGAGTTAAGTCTAAAGTATAAATACTTCAAAATAATTCTACTTCTTTGTCGAGCTTTTTTGTAACCACAATATTTTTGGTCGCCATAATTAATCATTATTTCCCTTCATATCTTCCGATCCTGGATTATATTTATCCATTCGAGTGGGTAATCTAGTTTTTCCAAAATAATTTATAACATAAAATATCAATACAGCTCTAACTCAACAAACGAATACAATACCTAACTGGCAACTACAATAGTATTTATGATGTTATTGTGTAGGTATACACTTTTTTAATTTATTCGTTGTGCCTACTGATGAAACTTACGATTTATGAATTTACAAGTCACAACGTATTTTAATTAATTTTAATTATTTGTAGTTTGATTTAATACTCAATTTCAATACAAACAGTATAATATTATACAGAATATACCACAACTATTAACTTTTATGTTAAATGTAGGTACCCTATTTCGTCTTATTACATAGAAGTTTTAATTGAACTCCATAATATAGGTATATAATATATTACATTTAGAGATTATCATTTTATGAGATGAGCATAATATCATATGGTATTACATATTATTCATTAATAATGTAATAATAAATAAAATTCACCAAACTGCAATGTTCTTAAGAACCATAGCTGGCATAGATAAAATAAATTCAATAATTTAATAAACTTATACTAATTTATTGTACCTAATCAATACAACAAATACAATTTTAATTCTACTTTTCTTTTGAATCGTTGAAGTGCATTGTAGTATATTAATTGGATAATTTAATATAGTAAAATAATATAAAATATGATACCTATATCAGTACAATAAAAATTATTTGTAATTCACAATTATTAATCAATCATATATAAGTCACAATTTCGAGAAGTGAAAACTGATAACAACGAATATTTTAATAAATATTATTTGTAAGAAAATTATGCAATCTATTTTGAACAAAATAACCAATATAATAATATTATATATTATTTAACTATTTTTTACGGTTATATTCTTTTTTCCTTTACTTTACACAATCGGAACATCATGCAACTTGTGATTTTTATCTATCATATTATATTCTAAGTTAAGTGAGTAACGTATAAATTGGTTGTAGGCACAGCATAGTGACTTTGTTATATATCTCTGATCACTTTTTTTCATTTTTGTGCTGAAGAAAGGTTCGAAAACTTTTATACAACACCTTTATGGACAAAAAGTTAAGCCTTTGCGGCGCTTTTTCGATTTTTCCCAACAGTTTCTCCAATCGTAATGAAAAACTACAGATAACCGTCGAAAATGTTTTTAAAAAAAATTGACATCATGGCCGGATTAACAGGGTTTTGATCAGAATTTTCATTCAATCACATCAATGCTCTAAGATTAAATTTCATAACGTCCAATTATTTAATGATATTTTAAGGAAGTCTGCACCATCCAAAGGTTTCGAAGGGTTGGCTTGTACAACTATGCAAAAGTTAACGCCTTTGAAATGGATCCCGGAATCGTTTTATAATTTATTTCAATAATTTGCATTTAAATTTTGTTTCAATTGTTTCAATTATTATAATTTTGAATATATTTCTGTTCATTCTCGACTACAATAAAAAATAAAATTGAAAATAAATAATAACATTTAGAACATTTAATTTAAATTAAATAATTTCAACCCAAGGTAGCCAAACACAAATATTTATAAAATAAACTCATTTCATCCTAAAGTTTTAAAAATTCAACTGAATTCAACTTGTTAAACCAAATAGTTTATATTTTATATTTTGATAGTAAATACAAAAGGTATAAGCAATGATCAATACATATATAATATATACTACGACCATAAATTGTAGTTTATAATTTTTATAAATTCTAAGTATGCTGAGTAAGAGTTTTGTAAAATGTATATTATAAGTTTATATTATTATCTATACATATATCACCCTTTATAATAATATGATAATTTGTAAAAAGCAAAGACAGTTTTCTTAATATTTTAAAAATATATACAGGTAATCAACTCCTGTAATAACTCCCTTATTTAGTAATGATTTTGATTTTAAGGATTTTTAAGGTAATATACATAGAGACCTAATTTCTAAAACTTACATTATTATATTATGACATTAAATTAAGAGTTTCCTTCATCAATTATATTTTTTTCATCTGAAATCCACTTTTTTACTGTTTATTATATGTCAGATTTATTTTTTAAGAATGTTGTTTTAAATAAAAATAAATCAAAATTCAAAAAAGTTGTTTCTGAATTATTAAACTTAATTTTTAACGGTCAGAATAATTGTTCATGATAATAGTCTTAATGATATAGATGATTTTCAAATTATAGTAATTATTAAAAAATAGTAATATATTAGCATTTTATAATTTATAAATATTGGCTGGTCATATCGAATTAGTACTAAAGTAAATATTATATAATATATTTTATATAATATCGTACCATAAAATTTTTGTAATTTAAAAACGACTAGTTCAAATTTTGAGTTGAAGGAATTGACGTTATCGAAAAAAACATTTGTTTGAAAATTTACAGTAAAAAAGGGAAGTCATCATTTGAAAAACGAAGTTTCTCAAGATGCTGCTTAAAGGGTATAAAAAAAATATAATATAAATCCGTGAAAATATTGCCTTTCAGTACATATATTATAAAATAATCCAAAAATTAGAATTTGTATAGTTGCATTATAACAGCATAAAAGGTGAATATCACTGTATAATAATATATAATAATATAATATTTTAAAAAACCATTTAAACTATAAACATTTTTTCTTTCTTTAAAGTCGTTTTCCTTTTTCAACAGTAAATAGTTGATGGAAGGTGGTTCCAAGATAACCGGTAGTTGCTTGAATATTTGCTTGTAAATTTATAATAAGCCTAAAAAAATAAATATAACAATTATTAATTTACATGAATTCGTAAAATCATATTTTCATGTTGCATTATTGTTTTTGATGTATACACAGAGAATAATATGGGTAGGTAAAATACTACCTACCGATCGTATTATATTATATACAAGGAAATAAAAATACTTCACAGTAATCATTATATTAGATTAGTAGTAAACAATAGCCAATTCCATAAAAATGTAAAATGTTTTATTTATTTTTATTTGTGTTATATGGTTTAAAAGTTTTAAACTAAAATTTCTATTACAATTATTTCAGTTTAGTAGACTTGACATTTTGTTGAATATTATTTTATTTTTCTCATGCTTTATGAACTGTATACGCTTCATACATTAAAAAAAAATAATAACAACACAATACTCTCCTTGCACGCCTCAGGGTAACATAATTAAATTCATGAAAATTAACTATGCACAGGGTGGTTTTTTTTTATCGTTATCCAGGTATTTGGTGTTTTTTTTATACTTTCAAATGTTTATACATTTGGAGCATGAAAAAAATATAAAATAGTTTGTCCAAAAAAGTAATATCCTTTTATACGTGGCCAAGATATTGTCTGGTAGACGATAAAAATTACCTTCCGCAATAAGTTTGCGTAGTTAGTCATAAAGTGTAAATAAAATTAATAATAATTTAATATAAAGAATGTTATGTTACATTAAACTGTATAGTAAGAATATTGTAAAAATGTAAACGTATAGATGAACTACGATGTCGATACATGGTTACCATGTTTTGAAAATTCCATGAAGGGGGGTGGTAGGGGGTGGAGGTATGAGAGGTATGATCCACTCTTTATTTATCTAATTTTCGAAATAAATAGCTATTCTTGATGACATATTTTAAATGCAAAAGAAAAAAAAATGTATTGCGGTAAACCATCTCTTTGGTGAATCTTACTTCTCTTTCGGAATTCCAAGAGTTTGATGAATATAGTCAGTTATAACTTCCATGTGTTTAGGATTCTCTTCTGGTCCCAAACTCCCAATGCTTGTTATTTGAATAAATCCACAGGGATCATTGGACCCACCAAGTGTCATTTTTACACCCGGGTTCACCGTTGATACGCAATACTATAAATAAGCAACAGTTAATTATTAATTATTGTACTTCAACATTTTTAATAAATACAAATATAAACGACTTTCATTACATATGACTAATGCAATAATTATAATTTATAACATTTTGAAAATAAAAAAATTAGAAAATTATTGTTTTTAGTATTGTTTTTTTTGTCCAAAGTTCAAAAGATAACTAAATATAATTTAATTTCTTCCAAATTAAATCTAATTAGAGACTATTAATTTAATGAATTAGATAAGATAACTCAAATACGTACAACTGTTGTGGGAAACGTGTACTAAAAAATAATGAAAATTAAAAAGGTGGAGAAGTGAATATCACTCTGCTGTATAGTAGGTTACAAGTGGTATAATGGTTGGCATTAAATTTGAAATCAATGATATGTTATCATTGTATACAAAAAATGATTCTGAGCGGAGGTGGTTTGTCAGTGTGGATATTATATATTAAATTTATTTTGTTATTAAAAAATATTAATATCGTACCCGGTAAGTAAAAAAATAAGAAAATCGCTACTTGATAAATCGAGTGAATATTCCATGTTGTAAAAATTTGAACTTCAAACGCTCATAAAAATTTAATTTCACTTTCTTATAGACTTTTTTTATGATAAAGGTAGAGAAATTTATAAGGAATCTTGTATTATATTTTAAAATCTTAGGTTTTTAAATTTTTTATGAATTTTTAATTCAAAATAATTTTGCATATTTTTTGATTTGAACGTATATTAATCATAGATCAAAATCCGAACTTAAAATGCTTATAAAAAAAATTACAACTATGTATTTTTATTATTTTTCAACTGTCATTGTAACAATATACGTCTTGTATTAAATGTTTAAACTTTTATATCTAACGAATAACATTTTATTGACATATATAGAAAAAAAACCTAAGAAAATTGGAAACTGAAAATTGAGAAAATGCAAATATAAACAATCAGAGAAAATTACATGTATCTACGAACATTTGTGTTACACCAAAAACCAAAATCGATTTTGTCGAAAACCGATGTTGTGTAAAAATTCCCGTTTTTCCTTAATTTTTATTTTGTTTTTCCCTTCGCTTTGATACTGTTGAAGAAAATCGAAGCAGTTTTACTACCCCAAACGGTGATGACAGACTCACACACACAAAAAGATACACATCATTGTAAAATCAATAAATTCATTGCTCCGCTCAGAATCTAAAAAGAATTTATTACATTATACTTACTGATTGTCTTTTGCCTAGGTTTTTAGAAAGAAGAACAGTGCATGTGCTCAAAAAATCCTCTGGAATTTTTGAAGCTGGTAAATTTGTGTCTAAGCTTAAACGTGGCATTTTGTTATTTTACAGAACGTATAATACTCCACTAACAATTAAAACAAGAATAGATCGTAGTTGGACGGAACATTCATATTTATGTTATATACCAAAACATTGACATAATTATTATGTCTTACTCATTTTTTTTCATCAACTGATAAAATAATATTATATAAATAATAAAACAAAATACGTGATAGCATTTTAAAGTAACATAATAATAACATATCCAATAAAAAAAAAAAAAAATTCTTACCGAAAAAAATACCACACATTTATTGCACATTATTTGTAATCTATTATACGTAATCCACTTACCACACATTGATTTTTTATGTTTTACGAGGAATATAAATGATAAATAAAGTTATGTTATAATACCTTACAATTGATGATATAACTTTTTTTTGCTATTTGCTGTAATATTATTATATCAAGTTGTTAAATAATTATGCAATGTAAATTATATGTAATTTGTGACTTCAATGTTGTGTAAAATCGGAGCAATAATTAAAACGTTGAAGAATATTAAATAAATAGGTATGCTTAGATTTTGTTTGTTAAAAATCGTTTATTTTTATTAATTTACATTTATAAATAAATATTTTTTTCGAGTTATTTAGTGCTTTCGAGTTGAATCCCTACATCGATCTACATGGAATAATTTGATTTGTCGATTATTTACTTTTTTTGTCCGACATATCATTTTTATTTGATACTTCGACTAACTATATGTAATATATTATATTTTCGAGGGATCTCCAAAAAGTAAGTTTACCTATACTAGGAAATCAAAAAACTGTGTTAATTTACGGCAGGATATAAAATATTTTTCATCACAATCGCCATTCTTCGCCATACGTATTTTATAATGTTGCCTTGTAATGTAAGCCTTTTCGGTAAAGTAAGTGTACGTTTTAAGTACATTTTCGGTAACTTTGGTGATGACTTCAATTACACTTCCCAACGAATTTCCTCTGAGACAGTTCACGAAGAATGAAAAAAAATGTAAAAAAAAAAAAGCCGTTTCAGAAGTGAAGCTGAAGTTGTCACCCAACTGCAGGTCACGCCGAAATGAAAGAAATGTGGGCCATGTTACCTAGGTAACGAAAAATGTATGAAGAACCACTTAGATTTTGTTGAAAAATAGTTTAGATACATCCTGCCGCAATCCTGATACGTTTTTTTTTTTTGGAAATGTTGGTGCAATTTTCGATTATTCCTGGGCCCTGTCATAGGGAAACTTACTGTTTGGATAACACCTCGAGTATCAAATAAATTCATATCCATGTTTGTTAAATTGAACTAGGAACAATCAATATTCGTTTATATATTATTTATAATACTTTAATGAATATACGTACGAGAAAGAAAGAGTGAGTAATATGAGAGAAAAAAAAAATAAAAACAAAAGTTGAAGTAATGTGTTACATATTGTCATCGGCTTCGTAAACACGTTAATTGCATTCTATACTGCCTTTTTTAATTATACTACTAGAGTGACCAATGTTTTTTTCTATTATCTTTGCTAATCAATGAATGGTTATAGCAACTCATACGTTACCTGGTAGGTATCTTGGAAATTAATCAATGTCAAGGACCATTTGAATTAATATCATTCAGATGATTGTGTAATCGTAATGAGTTAGTTATAATATGATTTATACATACTATACAATATGGTATATTATATTAATTTAAACTATTTAAAGTTTATTATCTTAAACAATAGAGTCGTAGCGGAAGTATATGCAAACTAATAATTATAGATAAGAAACTTTTGTGCTTTTCCGCATCTAGAGTATCTATCTAAACTTGAAAACATTATTATTATCAGTATACTGTCTAATCCAATATTTTATTTACAAAATATATAATATTATTTTTATAATAGTATTTGTATCACAATATGAAATATAAAAGTAAAATTTAAATTAAAATGTTAAAACTTTAAGTCGAAGCTGTTTAGGTTGTATCGGACAGGGGAAAATAATATCTAGAATAATCAGCCGAACAAAAAATAAAATATAGTGAGTGTGTGTTTAACCGGTAGTCGGTAAAAAATGTAGTATGGAAAAAAAGCACAAGAAAAATCTAACAGACCGAAAACTCCAAAAAAATAAATATACGATCCGAATCGTTCTCCGGTAATAAATCTCGTGAAAATAAACCCACAGATAAATAAAATCACAAGTGTGTTAAGTACATAAAATTGTAATATATAAGTCTGTACTCTGTAGTATAATGTTTAAGTATGAAGTATGAGTACAAATCAACGAATAATATTTTGTCACCACCTATAAAATCACTCCAAAAAACTCGAATAAATTCACCATACGATAGTTTTTAAATATTAACCCGACTTGGAAAACGTTACTTTTGTCCCGAAAATTCAATTGGATGTATTATCCAAAATTGTATATTTGAAAAGCTATTGTTAGCTCATTATTCATATCACTTTCACATTTTATACAATAAAACCTCAGTATTATTATAGTCCCTGTTGAGTGCTAAGTTAGATATAAATTGAAAAACCCAAACAGGACAAATTGTACAGAATTTCTCAAAACCAAAATGACTCACAAAAATAAATCAGAAATAACGTATATAGAAAATATAGTTAAAAGGTTCGCGTTAAAAGGTCAAAATCTTTCAAAAATCCAACTTAAACATAAGAAAAACCAAAATCAAATACCAGTTCCCGACTAAATCTTTTTTGTTTTTCCAAGTCTCAGAATTTTTATTATATCACAAGATTATAATACCTACATATCACTAATTATCATTAACTGTTGGAAAAATGTTGTTAATTTATTATTGAAACCAGTGATACGGGGATACTTGTAATAATTCAGAACAATGATGATTCATAAATAATAAATTTAAAGATAAACAGAAAAAGAGATTCTTAATATTCTTAATTTCTACAAAAGTCAAGCATTAAGAGGAAAAGATCAAAATAAGTACCCAAAAATCACAAGAATGACAAATTTCTTTTTAAAGGTTTTCATTTTAGATTCTGAGCGGAGCGATGAATGTATTGGTTTTACAATGATGTATGTTTTTTAGATTCTGAGCGGAGCGATGAATGTATTGGTTTTACAATGATGTATGTTTTTTTTTATTTATATTTTTATTTATATTTTTATATTTTTATATTTTTGTGTCTGTTATCACGTTTTGGGACAGTAAAAGTGCTTCGATTTTCTTCAATAGTACCTTTTCTGATAGGAAAGTGAATCTAGTTGGTACTTTGGGGGGTCAAAAGTAAACATTTTCCAGTAGTTTTCACAAGCGCCGGGAAAAACAACATAAAAATTAAGGAAAAACGGGAATTTTTACGCAAAATCGATTTTCCAAAAAATCGAATTTGGTTTTTGGTGTAACTTTAAAACAAATGACCGTAGATACATGAAATTTTCACTGGTTGTTTATATTTGCATTTTCTATACACGATAACATTTTCAAAATATTTTGATTTATTTTGAACTGTTTAGGGACATTTTCATTTTTCATTTTTTTTTAGTTTTTTTTCTAGAAATATCAATAAAATTTTATTTGTTGGTTGCGAAAGCTTGAAAATTTAATAGAAGGCTCCTAATATGTTGTTTCAAAGGCAGATGAAAAATATTAAAAATCCTTAGTCACAATTTTTTTTTATAAGCATTTAAAGTTCAAAAATTTACAAAATATGGAAAAATCACGAAAATTAGCAAATTATTTTGAGTTAAGAATTCGTAAAAATTTTTCTTTTTAAATCTAAGATTTGAAAATGAAACACAAGATTCCTTATAAGATTATCTACCTTTATCAATAAAAAAATCTCTACCGGACAGTCAAGTTAAATTTTTATGAGCGTTTGAAATTAAAATTTTTACAACATTGGATATTCACTCGATTTCTCATGTAGCGATTTCCTAATTTTGTTGTAATTCAAAAACGAACAACTGTAGATACATGAAAATTTCACTGAATGTTTAAATTAGCATTTTCTATACATCATACAATTTTGAAAATATTTTGACTCTTTTTGAGCTGTTTAGGGACATTTTCAGTTTTCAATTTTTTTAGTTTTTTTTTTTATAATTGTCAATAAAATTTTATTTGGTGGGCCAAAAAGTCTGAAAATTGAATACAAGCTTTCTTATATATTGTTACAATATCAGTTGAAAAATTTTAAAAATACATAGGCACGATTTTTTTTTATAAGCATTTAAAGTTGGAATTTTGACAAAATTCATCAAAATCTCGAAAATAATCAATCGTTGGAATTAAAAAATTATAAAATGTTCAGTTTTTATAACTAAGAGTTGAAAATTTAAAACAAAGATTCTCTTAAATAATTCATACTGTAACCAAAAAATCTAAAAAATATATAAACACACTTATTTTTTACAGACATTTTAATTTCAAATTTGGACGAAATTACATATTAAAAAACCTAGAATAACTATTTTAGTTATTTTGTTGTGATTGAATAATATTATTCGTGGGTACTTGAAACTTCTAAAGTGTACTATTATATATCTATGATAGTATCACGGTTTTTGTTGATGTATAACGCGTTATAAGTACTTAATGGATATTTTGATATGATTAATTTTGGAATTTATTATAGGTACCTACCTATTATAGGTCAAATTTTGGTTTAGTACCATAGATATGTATAATGTATATAATATGTCTTATACCTAGACTGACATACTGTCTCCGCTCAGAATCGTTTTTCTTATACAATGATATTATATCGTTGAATTCAAATTTAATATCATCCATTATACAGTGACCCACTTGTAACCTACTGTACAGCAGAGCGACACCCACTTGCCCACCTTTTTTTTATTTATATTTTTATTTATATTTTTATTTATTTATATTTTTGTGTCTGTCATCACGTTTTAGGACAGTAAAAGTGCTTGGATTTTCTTCATCAGTAGCTTTTCTGATAGGAAAGTGAATCTAGTTGGTACTTTGGGGGGTCAAAAGTATAAATTTCCCAGTAGTTTTCACAAGCG